AAGTTTTTTTTTACTTATTTATAGGACTCTTTTATTCTTGTCGAGTAAACAAACAATGTAATGGAAATGCTGTAATAAAAAGATATAGCTATCGATTATTTTATATAATCACTATACACGATTTTTTCTCGCGAATATTTACGAGATTCAAACCAATGAACCCCACAATCGATCGAGAAACTGACCATTCATACGAAACGTAAAAATTTCAAATGTTTATATATTATTAGTTCGCTGCATAATATTTTTCTCGTATTCTCTATTAAATTCAATAAATAGAACCTTTGCAAAAAGAGATATTATTCATTTCATTTAATGACAATATACCATTGGATCATTATTGCCAGAGTAACGTCAATTAAAAAATAAACAATTATTCTATATTACTTTTTCTGTGACTTAAAAATAATTTTCAAATACCGTGTTAAACATTATTTTAAATAATATAAATATATAAAAAATATATAAATATATAAAAAAGTAATATAAATAAATAATTCGTGTTAAACATAAAATATGCCGAATTATTTCGTTATTTCGCGAATTTTTATGTTAACTTCTTTTTCGATTCAAAGATGCAAGTATTAATCGTTCTTATTTGATTGAATTAACTATGTTACGTAGAGATACTACTAAATATACATAAATACACAGACATACATACGTATACGTGTAAAAATATGCTGTACCTATATCAGATTTGTAAATACTTTCTGATGTGATAGTAATCATATAAGTGAACGTTGAAATAAAGACAATAAAATTGAAGATCTATATCCTAAGCAAGTATGTCGGTAACGATTGTCATAGTGAGTGTTTATGTGTGTTTGTTGAGTATTTTCTAACGAGTATCCCGTCAGACTGAAACGATAAGGCTTCATGAAAGCTCGTTGTTTTTAACGAGCACTCCAGACTACACGGTTTGTCTGCTTGAAATAACGTAATTTCGTGGAACGTTGTTAAAGGTGAGTGAAGGAAAAGAATTTACGATATCTAAACCTTCCTTCTTTCCTTAACAACTTACCCAATTGAAATCGTAAAAAGATATTACTGTACTCTATTACGTTGAATTAAAATTCATCTTTTGCTTCTTTTGCTATTTCAAATATTACAAAAAAATATCCTAACTTTCTTAGGATGATCAGGTGTATATGCTGAATTACACGATAATCGTGACAATGAATTTTATTAAATTCATATAAATTTATTTGTAAAAACATCGAAACTATTTCTCCACTGAAGTAAATATATTATTATTATTATTATTATTATTATTATTATTATTATTATTATTATTAGTATTATTTGTCTGTTACGTAAGGATATTGAATAAAAACGTATATAGAAATAAAAATGATAAAGAAACAATAGAGACAAAGTTTAGTTATATTATATCCATCGATCGATGTCAAAGTTTGGAAAAGTAACATGGCCATTTCGACCAGAAAAAGCGTTACTTTTTTTGTGTCGCAAAAGTATAAGAATAAGATTGTGCGTTTGGCTCTCATTCAAAAAGCTTCATGAGAAAAGTATCTTCCTTTCTTCTTCCTCTTCTTTCTACTTCTATTTCTTCTCATACTCTTTTTGACAACACACAAGACAGAATTAAATTTTTCTTAACCGTATAACTATATTGACTCATATTATCAATCAATCTATTTTGTCTCCGTAATTGAAATTAAATACATTAATCACAGGTTCACGTACATTGTGTGTAGAAAAAAAAAGAAGAAAGAAATCTTTTTACAGTTCGGGTAAGTAGAACAATGTTGAGAATAATTGAACAAAATGTTTTCTGTTATTTACTTGACGTCACGTAACACGTAATTGCAATTTTACAATTAGAACATCATTTGTATTGTGTTTTAAATAATACGTTAAAGCATTTTTCTGATCTATCCTACACTTCTAATAATTATTATAGTAATTTTTTTCGAATGGAATATAATTTTATCCTCAGGATATGACAATATATATATAAACGTGAAACCAACGATTTGCTAATTACACGTCTTCGACTATATGTGAATTGAATAAAAGAGTCCATATAGGATTTTGTCTGACTGTGAGTAGGTAAAACATTTGAAAAGAAAGTCTGACCACGTTTGAATACGTTAAAAACGTCGCGACGGAAGTTATCACATCAGGGGGTCGCAGGTGAACGTCGATTTACACAGAGATGAACCTCAAAGGTCACCTTTTTGTTCGTCTACACACTTTTTCTCTATGTTACGCGACGATATTTATTCAGAAAATATCATGTATTGCATATATATATCAATATTATTAAATAAATGTTATAAATTATTTAATATTATTTAATAAATTCATAAATATTACAAATTTAAATAAAATATATAACAAAATAATATATATAATATTTTATAACATTTATTTAAAGCAATATATATATTATTTATTATAATCATATATAATATATGAAATGGAATGATATTCTTTTTTCCGTAATCGTATTCGTAATAAATTAAGAAAAAAATGTAATTTATGAAGTCGAAGTCACATTATATTTTATTTATCTTCAAGAGAGTTTTTTCTCCCTTTTTTTACGGTCCTTAGTTTCAATAACGCATAGCAGCAAGGTAGATAATTTAATCTCTTATCTATTTACACATGCACACACGCACACAGATGATCGGTAGAACGTATAGCATAACTTCTTTTAATACTCCATTTTTTTCTGAATTAATTTTTTATACATATATTATATGATTATATCTAGTTAATTGAAACGATCGTGTTTCATAAATTCTCTCAATCATGTTTACTAGTTATATATATATACATACGAACATATGGCTTTTGCAATAATATTTTTAAAAATAATAATGTTACTAATAAATGTAGTAACACTTTAACTAATTTATTTATTTATGTATGGTGAATTGGTTCGAGATAAAAAAAAGAAAAATAAAAAGAAAAGAAAATACGAAGAAACAGTTACTGATTTTACTTTAACTATTGCATGTTTTCTACGAATTAATAGTTTTGAATTAATCTGTTATCCAATTTAATTTAATTTACGTTATACAAATATTGTTATGTGAGAAATCGAATAAAGAATCGTTAAAATAAGGAATAAGACAAATGATATTAACAATTGCTTTTTTCGTAGCAATAAGAAAATAACTGGAAAAAAAAGAAATAATAGGTAAATCGGATCTAACTTTATAAGGATGCCGATAATTAGATAAATTTAATACTGGTATACGCTGTGCAGTTTTTATCTTTTTTATTTTTACGGATTATTTAATGTCATTTTTATACGTATACGCTATTTTCCCCAAACAATTGGATTAAAGTATGAATAAATAATTAATACAGTAAACAAAAAATGTAATAAAGATATAACACATTTATCACATGTTATCACATGAAATCGTTCTTACATTAATTACATGCTTTTAAACTCTTGTTAATTATCTTACTTGATAGAAAATAAAAAGATACGAAAGATTAACCCTTTCGCTTTGAGCGCCGGATATATCAGGCATCCGCGGGTGCTTTTGCGCGTGCTTCCGTACGATGACGACACTTCGGCAGACTGGACTGCCGAAACGAAAGGGTTATAAGCACAATTTATTAAAAAAAAAAACTAAAAAATTAAAAATGATTCCAAAATGTTTAACACTTATGACGTGTGTAAGTTGGCGTTTATGTATAGTAGTAATTTTAAAAATCTATTCATGCATTCACGTATTGTAAAGTAAGGTACATTCTTTACAAATCAGGAAATGTACGAAAAAAAAAGATTTTAAACATGGAGAAGTTTTCAAGTTGGTCGATAATTTTGGTTAACCGGGACAAGACATCCAGGAGGATACAATAACGTTACTTTTACATATTGGATATATAAAAAATTGTGCAAAATCCTTTTTTTTCTATGTATTTACATGAACGTATAACAAAAATATACTATATGCACATATACACCTATGCGTTATATGGGCATAAATATATTTAAAGTAAAATATTAGAACCACAAACATTCGCAAGAATGGGAATGTCAATGGCGTACGTGTTTGGATTTTGTCCAACATTTTTCGCGGTAACACAAATTCCTATATCACGTATATATATAAATTATTTGATAAATTTTATTTGTATCAACCGAACGAATATTTAAAATCAAATCGTGTATGAAAGTTGTCAAATATTTACGAAAAGGATTTAAATATATAAAAAAAGGATATAAATGTATATATAAATGTATATATATATATATTATATGTTGAAATATAAAATACAAATTATTGGATCGTTTGAAAAAATAATTTTGCAAATATAATAAATACACATTTATCTTAAAATAGATAGTGAATTTTTAGAACAACCATTAATGGCATTTATTTATTTAATAAGAAAAAAAAGAAAAAATTGATTTCTTTTGGTATCGATACAAACTTTCAATAGCAACAACCGAATAGATTAATTAGAAATTCAGGAATTGGAATGGAGGGTTAAACGTAATGTTTACACGTGAGTCTACAAAGCTGTCGGTTTTGCCAAGCAAGAGAATTCGAATGGGATGAGCATAAAACATATATATATAAACAGACACTACGTATAGAGTATTGGCTGCTGACTTAATGACGGCAAATTCTCTTTGACGTCAAGACGAATATATCGCGTAGCTGAACGAACAAACGAACGAACCATGACTCGTCGAATTTCATTATTTGTTATGACGTAAACGGGAAGATTGATATACAAGCAAGAGTCAAAGGATACTGTGAACAGATTTAATCACCAAGGTGATTATTGAATAGCGTTTGATTCATGTTCCCTGTTGCCAAGTATAAACAAAGTTGCTCTGTTTCTGTTTATTGATGTTACGCGAGAATATTATCATTCTCAGCTTTTATTATTTTTTTTTTTTAATGTAAAATGCTTGAATAGATAAGTATATGATTTTAAAAAAATCGATATCGTGGTACGTAATGTATTAACGATAATAAATAAAATGAGTAATAAATACTCACCGTTTATTTCGAAGCAGCCGTCTTCACTCCGTAAGAATTACTTGAAAATGTCCGTTTATGGAGAAAAAAATGAAGATATCTGCGGCAGGTTCATAAAATCATCATCATCATCATCATCATCATCATCATCATCATCATCATCATCATCATTATCATCATCATCAAACGGATATCTTTGATATCGACACGTATCGTAGAATGCTCTCTTCCAGCCGAGCATTGTTCAAGTTAAAAACGTTATAAACGTCGTTAGAAACATACGCGTTAATCATATCAATTCGAATAAATATCAAGATAAACACAGTTCGGTCAAATCGCGCACTTCATTTTATTCATTAGTTTCCCCCCCCCTTTTTTTCGTCATCTTCATTAAACATTAGGAAAATAACACATTGTTTTTTAACACCAACGTCTCCGATTGATTGGATGATTGATCTGTGGGAAAAATTTCGAATGCACATTCGGACAAAAACGTAAGATGTCAGAACAAATATGTTGTTTCATCGATTGAACAAATAATCGAAGTTAGTTGGTATGTGAAATATGCATATATTACATGCGATAATCTAACCATCGAATTCCCACGAGTACAAATTTCTATGCACCTATAAACAACTATCTTTGATTACATTGGCATACACATGTATATTCAATTATTCATGACAATGCATTTGAAATGAATATAATATATTACATGGTATTGGTGTGTATGCGTGTGTGTGTGGGTGGGCAGGTAAGTGTGTGTGTGTGGGTGTATGTGTGATTACATTTTATAATCGTATTATCATTTCTTTATCGAACGAATATCGAAAGGAAAATCTTAAAAAAAAAAAAGAAAAAACATAAATATTTTATTCAAAAATTGTATTCCTTTATTTTCTATCTCATCGAAATTATCGTTCAATAATCGCAAGGAACAAAATTTTGTCAGTTTGGAAAATCAATATTGAAAATTATTCGATCGTATTAAAAAAAAAAGTTTATGTTATCTATTAAATATTGACAAGCCCCGTTTTGCGAGATGAAAATTACGTTCAGAAATTTATCTCCAATAAACTGTACACGTAATTTATAAAGTTGACATTTATTTGCCCTTTCTTTATGGTACTTTAACAAATGGTCAATGAATTTTTTTTTAAGGAGTTTGTAAATTTCATCAACTTACAATTCTGTAACTTTTGAAAGATTATAGAAAGGAAAAAAAGGGATCAGGAATATAACTGACATGTTATGAATCATGATATAAGCTTTAGCGCGTCAATGAATTATATCTCAGAATCAACAGGTACTCTTATTCTCTTTATCTTCAAGCACGTTCTCCCCAATTTAACTGGCCGATCAATATTTCCCAAAAACAGACCGAACCCGTGTGAGAAAAAAAATGAAAAATTACAAGTTAATTAGACGCGACGAGGGAAATAATAATACAAAGTTGAGTACTATTTAGTAACAAAAACAATAATAAAATAACTTCCAAAATGATGATAGATAATTAAATTAATTTACGGATTTTAATACAAATTATTTAATTTTCCACTTGAATTCGTTAATTATATTCTTTTAACGTTAAAACTATCGAATTGATTTTAAATTATAATTACAAATTTAATACTATAAAATATTATTTCTCGTTAATTTTAAATATAGTGGATAACATTTAACGATAACTGCCTGTTATCGAAGAAAAAATCCTATTGTGTTGTATATACCTTAAAAAAAAATTATATTATCTCACCCCCTCCACCTCCTCCTCCTCCTCCTCTTTCTTAATACCCATTTCATTTATCATTTCTATTAAATGAAAAAGAAGACGAGTTAGAAGTCAGTCACGCGACCGAGTAAAATTAATGCTCTTAGCAGAAATATATATTCACGCTGATGAATTAAATTTCCTACGTTAGTGCAATGTTAATCTCAACCTTCTTCAATCCTCTTTTTTTTTAAATCATTAATTTCATCAAATAACATAACATATATCGATTATTTCAAAAAATATTTCTTTTAAATTTTTTGTAAATGTAGAAATATAAGAAATATTTCAACAAAAAAAGTTTAAGTTTATGTTAAAATATAACCCCCCTCTCTCTCTCTCTTTCTTTGGTGACATTTAAAGGATCAATCAGTACGCCTACATTTAATTATAATACTTTGGAAAAAGATGTATTATATAAATACTATTTAATCGTAAATAATTTCCAACTTTAAACATAAGAATACGATGCTTTTAGAGACGAAGCAACACATGTCGAGAACTGATCGTCATCCATCAGCTGAAGAAAAGAGTGGCGTTAATAGGGGGTGGTGGTAGAGGGAGATAGATAGAAGTATTGAAGAATAAAAGAGAAAACATAGAAACAAGTAGAGAAGGGAGGGATGGTAGTGTAGAGGGATGACAACAGGGAAATGAAAGAGAAATATAAGTATTGAAGAAAGAGAGAAAGAGAGTGAGAAGTAGAAAGGATTGTAATGTTCTCTCTCCCACTCTTTCCATCAACCTTTCCCCTCCCTATCCTTCACCCCTCTTTCCCTGTATTTCTCTCTCTCTTTCTCTGTCTCTAAGGCGCACGTATGCACGTACGCAAATGTGTATATTTTCCCTCTGTAGCTCACCCCATCAAGTAAAAATTCCCATCGCGATATCTCGCGTAACACTCAATAGAATGATCATGTTGTTTATACCTGCCTCGATGTTCGCGTATTTGTGATCTGCAGGAGACGACGACGACGAGGATGATGATTATGATGATGATGCACGATGTGCAAAGATTCAACTTGACATAACGATGATCATCGTAGAGTGATTAGTTGCCAAGTGGTGGATAATGTTGTTGAATTACGGGTTGCTGATGGTCTCGTGAACGAAAAAGACAACGGGATTTAGGATAACAATCAAAACTTTAAGATAAAGTAATAGAAATTGTTAACGTGATAGAGAACCATGATGATGATGATGATGATGATGATGATGATGATGATGATGATGACAAGTCGCGTTCCTTGTCCAACGATGAAAAGATGAGAAAAGAAAAGGATAAGTATTGCACGATAGTATTTGACGCGTTATGGAAATATATGACAACGAAAATGAAGCAAGAACGAGGAGAACGACAACGATGATAAAGACAACGACAATGATGATGATGATGATGATGATGATGTGATGATGATGATGATGGGAACAACGACGACGAAGAGGAGGAGAATGACGACGACGCCGACGACGCCGTCGACGATAAAGACAACGGCGACAATGACAACGGCGACAACGACGACGACGACGACGACGAGAACGTTGACGACGTCGACGACGAATAAAACCTGGTCTGCTGTAGGCGTCGCGGCGCTCATACACCGGCTCACTGAGCTCGAAGTGGGCGACACCGCCTGAACACCGGCTAAAAACCCGAACGGTGCCAGCGGGGGCGGTTACGGGGGTAGGTGGGGGCGACGAAGGATCACCGACAACGACCGAGAGAACCAACCGACCGACCTTTCCATTAGTGGATGGGCGCAAGCGCTCTTCAAAACTTGCTTTTCATTTTCCACTATCACACTACTTCTTCTTCTTCTTCTTCTTCTTCTTCTTCTTCTTCTTCTTCTTCTTCTTCTTCTTCTTCTTCTTCTTCTTCTTCTTCTTCTTCTTC